AATCTACACAGTGCAATGAAACATTGTGGATGCTGGGCACTCTAACAAGAGACCCTAGATAAAGGGGGGCACCTCCTGCTCTATACTAGGGCAAGGAGGCCTCATGAGAGTCCTTCAACCTTCCAACCAGACTTAGGGTAGCTAGGAAAATAATATATACACTCACCTAAAGGATTATTAGGAACACCATACTAATACTGTGTGTTTGACCCACTTTTGCCTTCAGAACTGCCTTCTACGTGGCACTGCTTTAACAAGGTGCTGAAAGCATTCTTTAGAAATGTTGGCCCATATTGATAGGATAGCATCTTGCAGTTGGAGATTTGTGGGATGCACATCCAGGACACGAAGCTCCCGTTCCACCACATCCCAAAGATGCTCTTTTGGGTTGATATCTGGTGACTGTGGGGGCCATTTTAGTACAGTGAACACATTGCCATGTTCAAGAAAACAATTTGAAATGATTCAAGCTTTGTGACATGGTGCATTATCCTGCTTGAAGTAGCCATCAAAGGATCCATGTTCTTATTCTGTTTACGCCAAATTCTGACTCTACCATCTGAATGTCTCAGCAGAATCGAGACTCATCAGACCAGGCAACATTTTTTGAGTCTTCAACTGTCCAATTTTGGTGCACTCTTGCAAATTGTAGCCTCTTTTTCCTATTTGTAGTGGAGATGAGTGGTACCCGATGGGGTCTTCTGCTGTTGTTGCCCGTCCGCCTCAAGGTTGTGCGTGTTGTGACTTCACAAATGCTTTGCTGCATACCTCGGTTGTAACGAGTGGTTATTTCAGTCAAAGTTGCTCTTCTATCAGCTTAAATCAGTCGGCCCATTCTCCTCTGACCTCTAGCATCAACAAGGCATTTTCGCCCACAGGACTGCCGCATACTGGATGTTTTTCCCTTTTCACACTAGAAATGGTTGTGCGTGAAAATCCCAGTAACTAAGCAGATTGTGAAATACTCAGACCGGCCCGTCTGGCAACAACAAACATGCCACGCTCAAAATTGCTTAAATCACCTTTCTTTCCCATTCTGACATTCAGTTTGGAGTTCAGGAGTTTTTCTTGACCAGGACCACAACCCTAAATGCATTGAAGCAACTGCAATGTGATTGGTTGATTAGATAATTGCATTAATGATAGATTGAACAGGTGTTCTTAATAATCCTTTAGGTGAGTGTATGTATATATGAAGAGTTCAGATGCAAAAGCCTCTAAATGCCATTTGAAATTTTCTTCTTTAATCATGATTTTTATCAAACTTGTATATTTAAGTTAAATCAAACCGGACGTTGATACTTCAAAGCTTTGATTTTTTTTTGCACGGGGTGTATATACATATATATTAGGGCTGTGCAAAAGTTAATTGCGATTAATCGCATCCAAAATAAAAGTCTGTGTTTACATAATATATTTGTGTGTGCTGTACATAATTATTTTGTATATATAAATACCTATGCATGCATGTATATATTTAAGAATTATTTGCGCTTAAATTCTGTATATATTTATAAATACATAATCTATATTATATAAATATAAATATTTTATATATGAATAACACATTTTCTTAAATATATACATGCGTGTGTGTGTATTTATATATACAAAATAATTATATACAGCACACACAAATATATTATGTAAACACAGACTTTTATTTTGGATGTGATTAATCGCAATTAATTTTTGCACAGCCCTAATATATATATATATATATATATATATATATATATATATACAGTATATATATACATGTGTGTGTGTGTGTGTGTGTGTGTATATATATATATATACACACACACACACACACACACACATACAGTACTGTGCAGAAGTCTTAGGCACACTAGTATTTTCGCCTCAAAGAAATGGTTTTAAGCCAGTTATTTATATATTTTGTTGTAGTGTCTCAGTAGGAAATATCAGTTTACATTTCCAGACATTAATTGTAATAATCCAGTGAAATTTTTGAATGCACAAGGATTCTGACAACAGCCAATGCTCCACACGGAGGTCGGATCTCGCCATCATCGAGTGCATCTGAAATTATATGAAGAAACAGAAAATAACAGAGACTAAGGCCTGAAGAACTGCGGCAACGCTTCCAAAGATGCTTGAAAAAACCTGCAAAACTGAAAACTATGTGCAATACTTGGACAAAAGCTGTTTTAAACATAAAGGGTACTAAACACCTATTGATTTGATTTAGTTAACTGTTAAAAGTTAATAACAGTTAATAGTTAACTAATAAAAGTGAATTGATAAAGAAAATCTATTTCTGATTATGACATTATTTTTGAAAACATTCTCATTTACAGCATTTTTACACAAGTGCCTTAAACTTTTTCACAGTATTGTAGCTTTGCAGGCAGGCAGGCACTACCTTCGAGACGTTGTCGCAGTTCTTCTGGTCTTAGTCTCTGTTTTTTCTGTTTCTTCATATAATTTCAGATGCACTCGATGATGGTGAGATCCGACCTCCGTGTGGAGAATTGGCTGTTGTCAGAATCCTTGTGCATTCAAAAATTTCACTGGATTATTACAATTAATGGCATAATTAATGTCTGGAAATGTAAACTGATATTTCCTACTGAGACACTACAACAAAATATATAAATAACTGGCTTAAAACCATTTCTTTGAGGTGAAAATACTAGTGTGCCTAAGACTTCTGCACAGTACTGGTCATGCATACATACAGTATATACATATATTATATATAAGCTGATGCATTCAGTGTTAATTCACAGATTGACAGAGCTATGGATACTGCATATTCCTGCATTGCAAACGCTACATTGTTTTGTTTGTATTATCTGCAAGCCAGACATTATTTATTTATATTATATGTAATAGATTGTTATAAACAACCCGTTAAATAAACAACCCGTTACATATATAATTACAACCTAGAACATTGTTTTCACAGAGATATTATTTTTGCACAAATCAATACTCCATTAGCATTGCTAGTTAAGTTAGCTAACCTAATCACAAAGGACATTATTTACCTTATCGTCAAAGTTTGACTCTGTAAACAGGTGTTTCACATGACGTGCCAGCCAAAACAGGAATAAATAAAACGCAGAGACTTTTCATCCTCCTGGATCCCCACTCTTTGTGGCGAGTTTTTTACGGAGTCGAACGTACTTGTCTTGAGTGTTCTGCCATCCTTCATACACTCCGCTACATCCAACCTGACATTGGAGAAAATCTCTCTCCATGAATTCGCTGCCACCTGGCAGTCTTTGTATTCTGCAGAAGACGAGTCATACAGATCACTGTATTTCCTCACCTCTTCAACCAATCGCTCGGTCACTTGGTCCATTTCCTTGTTTCTTTCCTAGTCTTTTTTAGAATTTACAAATGGCAGGTGGTGCAGAAGAGCATGCTGGAAATGCGTAGGAGGAAATGCATTGCTACCAAGCCGACCATAATACGTTATTCTAGAACTGTTATTCTACCAAGCTGACCAAAAATAATGTTATTCTTGAACTGAAACCAAAACAATCTGTTACTTTAATTTCTTTTATCATTGTAAAGACGCTTTTGAACAATCTACATTATTAAAAGCGCAATATAAATGAAGATGACTTGAGAGAGAGAGCATGAGAGAGAAGCGCCTTTCTCAAACTCCTCAGCGGGCTCCATCTGGGAACCCCATGATCTGAGTTTCGAGCAGGACCCGAATCCTGCTGGGCCCAGATGCCTGTCTCTCTTCCCTCGAGAAGAGGAACAGGCGAGAGCATAGTTTTCTAAGCAGAAAACTCTCACATTTTGCACAATCAGATCCCTCAAGAGCTGGTCGAGCTTGCTCTTCCCCCAAACAGTAAACGCACAAGTCGTGCGTGTCATTTGAATGAATAAGGCATTTATATAGCGCTTTCATATGTACTACTGTACATCCAAAGCGTTTTACAATCATATCAGGGGTTCTCTCTTCAACCACCACCAGTGTACAGCATCCACTTGGATGATGCAACGGCAGCCACAGTACAACGGCGGCAGTGGGCTCACCACACACCGGCTATAGGTGGAGAGGAGAGAGAGTGATAGAGCCAATTCAGTGGATGGGTATAATTAGTAGACCGCGTCCCCAGTGCACCGGGGTTACACCCCTACTCTTTTACAAGAAGTGCCATGGGATTTTTAATGACCTCAGAGAGTCAGCACCTCAGTTTAACATCTCATCCGAAGAACGGTGCTCTTATAGACTGAGGTGTTAGCTGGCCTCACTAACACGTCTGCCAGCAGCAACCTGGTTTTTCTCATGAGTTGTCTCATCCAGGTACTGACCATTCATAGGGAGGAGATCAAACTTATGGGTATCCACCTGGATAATGGATCCACACCATTGCCATTATTCAGGTGATTATAAATCAGAAATCAAAACACTCCCTGAAGACGAAAAGAGGATGACATGTTCTCTAGGCGCCCCTTTTATACTTCCCCAATAGCGTCATTGACACAGTGTGAGTTGCCTTTCGAAAGGTAATTTCTATATTTGCGCAATTTCAATTTGCGCAATTAGAACGGTAATGAAAACGTGGCTATCTTTGGGTAAATTTTGTCCAATTGTACAATGTTTTTGCATATTTGGGAAATATTTGTTCATATATTTGGTTTAGTTTTGCACTTTCTAAAATACTATTTTCCTTGACTAAAATGTTTGTCTAAAATGAATAAAATATCACACGGTACATTTTTTAATTATACAGGATATTTTTCTAAAAAGACAAAAAAGGAAAAATTAACAACTGCCTGGGTACTACATCTGGTTCTTTTCTTCACTAGTCTGTTCAGCCCATTTGAATGCTTTTGCAAATTGATGGGAAGCTTCTATTGCTAATAGTATAATGTTGTTTTAACCTTGTTTTACCCCTAAGCAAAGAATAAAGAAGAACTTTGCTGTGAGTATGTGTATCTGCTGTGAGTGCCTTTAAACTTGAGGTAGTTTGCAAACATGGTTTAAGGATTTTGCTCATCTCTTCTAGGAGGAACAGTACAAGGCTTGATCTCCGATCTTTTAGGAAAGCGAGCTCCTGTGTTGGTAGTCAGTTTGCTGCTGGCCATGGGAGCATTAGTGGGATACAGCCGTAAGTTTAGAAAAGAATCTGAGTACCATTTCAGACACTTTCTTTTATTGCTTACTTTGAAAAAATGACAGCTTAATAAATGTTTTTATTTATTTATTTATTTTTTTCCTTTTTTATTTCTTTCAATGCTTGCTCAGACTCTCCAAATGACCAGATTGTGAATGGAGCTCTACTAGCAACGACAGGTGACACATTATAATACACTGAAACGATTTTTCTGAAACGAAGTCAACAGTTATTCCTCCTCCCTATCTAAGAATTTATTAACATTTGAATATTTCGGAATTATTTTATTTCAGGTTTCCTTATTGGAGGCCCATCAAACATGATCAGTTCAGCAATCTCTGCAGATTTAGGCCGACAGGAGGCGCTGCAGAACAGTCAGCAGGCTCTGGCCACAGTCACAGGAATCGTGGACGGCACAGGCAGCATTGGAGCTGCGGCGGGACAGGTAATGCATTGCTTTGATTTTTTTTTTTTTTTTTTTTTGTCTTTGGTTTTAAACCATTAACTTAGTGTCAAACATCAGATTTTTTTGGAAGTTAAAAAAAAAAATTAACCTTGCTGTATTAATGTGGCTCATGAAGTCCAGAATAATCTTTATGCTGCTTTAATAACTTGTACAAAACACTATTAATCAATAATGTCATAGCCCTCTAGGAATAAGGAATAAAATCAATGTATTTTTTACTCTTATTGTAAAAAAGTCACACTGCATTTTAGTTCTAAGTGTGATGTTTATTTTGTATTCAAAGACATTATTTTTATTATTAGTCACAGTTGGGTAAACGTCTATAGCGGTGAATGGGAGATAACAGCAAATATAATTTTTGCTTTCCCGTTTGCTTTAATAACTAAAGAAAAAAACTGCGTTTCCACAACTTTCCAAAAGACAATAATAAAATAGAGAGAAATTGATCACAGCAGTCAGAAGAGAAAAATATTTGCCATTGTATTAGAAACACCCTCGCGGCAGCGTTAATCATTTACTGACAAGGTTGAATTATTGGACACCCAAGGTGGTGATGCGGCCACAATGCAAAGCTGATTATTTTCTAATAATTCAATGGACTGGGAATCAATTTTTTCGCTTATACTACGGTTACCACACCTCAAGACATTGTCCAAATGTTGCATTTCAACTCCTTAAACCTGTTTTTGTCCATAAAATTGTCCATTGTAGAGCTAGTGACAGAGGCTTAAGCCATTTATTATAGCAGTCTAATGCAGTAATTAAAGAGAGGGAGAGAGAGATTAATCGGGTGTGAATTACCTGAGAGTCTGCGAATCTCAACAGTGTTTCGGCACCAGCGTCTCTACAAATTGCAAAATTGTAAATTTATTACCGAAATAAATTGTATTGTAAATATATTATCTCTGGAAACTGAGAATTGTTTTGTTGTGCTTTCCATACATAATAAAACGTTATTTTATGGCAAAATAGATGGAAATAATTTGACATGTTTATCCTTCTATATTTAATTTAAGCTTGTAAGCTTGGTCAGTGTCATTGTGGGTTTTGGTTATTTTGCTGTTGTAGGCTGTAAAGACCTTTTGAAATAACTGAAATCTTTTTTCTTTAAAAAGAAGAAAATATGAAAAACATAGATGATGCTAAATTTGATGACCGAGGAAATGTCATCAAAATCTGTGAAAAAGTGTCCATTATTGTTTTTGTGTTTTTGCTGTTAAAACTGAATGTATAAGTACTCATTTTAAAAGTATTTCTGTCTTTTAGTACCTGGTGTCGCTTATTGAGAGCAAATTTGGATGGATGTGCGTCTTCTATTTCTTCATAGTCATGGTAGGTAATTGTAATGTTGCAACAGTGAAGCACTAAAGGCACATCCTTTTATTAGACAAAATTATTTAGTGAACAGAGACTCATTTTTAATTGTCAAATTAAAGGCGAAGTGTAATTTGTGTAATTAGCATCACCAGACTGAATTAATAAAACAATAAAAAGGACCAAAATATGAAATTCTTGCATCAGATTAAATTGTGTCCTATCAAATTCTCTCTAGAATAACAATGTACCCCCCTTTAAAGAGCCCCTATCATAGCATTTGAAATGTTCCTATTTTTGTTTTAGGAGTTCCCAAAAACAGTTTAACGTGCATGCAAGGATAAAAAAAACACTTTATTTGTCTTATAATATGCATTTATTTTTAACTGATTTGCTCAACAACTCCCGTTCGACGATTTATTTTCCCAAACACCTTCTTGAGTGACGCGAATCTGCGGCTATTGGTCAAATGTTGGTCAAGTTGTTATTGGTAAACCGTAGGCAGAGACTGTCGGCAACGGAACGCCCATAACCAGGATTATAGCTTGTCAAGTGTTGAAAATTGTATATAGGGTTTGAACAAACGTGTCAGAAAAAGTGCACTTTCCACACGGTCCCTTACTCGTGTCTCCGTCAAGAGCAAGCTTTCCCGGCGAAACTCACATTGCGGCGGTGCTTATTATATAGAGCGGAGTCATATTTGGCTAAGTCGTTTAGGAGGTAATTGCCATTTTTCAATGAATGTCTGGTGAATATCAAAAAATAAAACTAACTTTACCCCACTTAGAAGCTGCGCGGAGTGTACACAACACACACAACACAATATAACTATATTGTACATGCTACAGAAAACATAACAGCAAACATTATTAATATTACTTACAGATTGTGATTCGGAGGAGGACGAACCTGATCCATATATAATACACTGGATACTGAGCCCTCCTTCGGGAACAACCGGCATGCGAATGATTCGTCATTAAAATGATGAGAACACAAGGTTCGGGCTATAATGTTGTGGGTTGCAAATATGAACTCTGACCACTGATTCTTCACATGCTCGTCCCTGGACAATGGAAACAAGTGGCTGAACGGTCTTTGCAATGTAGAACACAGCGTCTTCTCGACATGATGCGATTCAGCTGAAGTATTTGAATGTGTTCTAGACGTCACTTCAAGTCTGCGCGTGCAGTTGTTGGGAGCGGCCAATGACCTATCTACGTCACGACGTAACAGCTAATGACTCGTTTCAAAAACAATTTATTTCATAGACTCAGAGTCGACTCTCACTTTTGAAAGACAATAACTTTATATACGGGCATTTTCAGATATAAATCTTTGCAGGATGTTTTCATTCCCTTAGAGCTATATTCCACACTACATGAACAGTCATTTTTAAAAAAATCCATGATTTTTGCTCTTAAATGGCAAGCAGAAAATCAGGCTTCATAATAGTAATATAACTAAAACGTATGGGCTATACTTAAAAAAAAACTAAAGGAAGGGCGCAATCTCTTTACTGTGTCCAATCCAAACTTCGTTTCAGTAGCAAGAAAGAAAACTGCTTATTCAAACCATTTCATGGAGCTTTAAGGTTGTATACGATTTAAACACTGCATAAATGAACATGATCTTCTCCTTAATGTGCCATCCATCTACTCTAAAGTCAATTCTGAAAGCTGAGCTGAGCAGATACTTCAAAGCTGCAGTCTGCAGTTTTTCCTCTTTGTTGCCATTTCTGTTTGAAATCTGCAATTTCAGTCATTAGCGGAATTATCAACTTTTCGTGAGTTGTACCTCGACATGGCACTGCGTGGATGAATCCAATGTTTTGAGGAGAATGTACAGCTGTCAATCACTGCGCTGATGTCGATACCGGCATCACAGTCCTTGCTTATCCTTGTTTTTCGCATAGTTCCGGTTGCAGTCTCCTTTTTCAAACTCTCTCCAACGTCTTTTGCATGTTACAATGGGTGAATCTCCAGTTGTCATTGGTGATTTTCGTTTGAACCTTTCTGGATCCGCCATCAAATTAAAGGGTTAGTTCACCCAAAAATGAAAATTAAGTCATTAATTACTCACCCCCATGCTGTACCAACCCCGTAAGACCTTCGTTCATCTTCGGAACACAAATGAAGATATTTTTGATTGAACCTGAGAGCTGGATCAGTCCTACATAGACTGCCTAAGGGACTGGCTCTTGACGGCCCATAAAGTCATTAAAGAAAAGGTTTAAATATTCCATGTGCCTACAGCGGCTCAATTATAAGTTTATCAAGCGACGAGACTACTTTTTGTGTGAAAAAAACATAAATAACGACTTAATTCAACTATTCCATTACTTCCTGATGGGCGCATGCGCGAGAACTGAGACGAGGACGTTCTTCTCCTTTGACTACTTTTTTAGTATTCTCGTCGCTTGATAAACTTATAATTGAGCCGCTGTAGGCACATGGAATATTTAAACCTTTTATTTAATGACTTTTTGGGCCGTCAAGAGCCAGTCCCTTAGGCAGTCTATGTAGGACTGATCTAGCTCTCAGATTCAATCAAAAATATCTTTATTTTTGTTCCGAAGATGAACGAAGGTCTTACGGGGTTGGAACAGCATGGGGGTGAGTAATTAATGACTTAATTTTCATTTTTGGGTGAACTAACCCTTTAATAAGTTTAATTATATCATGTGCTGTGATAAAAGGCTATAAATCTCCACCTCCAGCATCCTCACACTCATGCCTACTAGCCGAGGCTGCTTCTTTATGTGTACAGATGTGACATAATGATGCAAAGACAATCTCGAATTCCCTGTGGAAATCCTCTTGTACCACTGGAATTAAAAACATTATTACAAGCTTACAGCTTTAAATCAAGCTAAGGCAAGCAGATAACGTTGAACACTGGCTGCTCATATATTTTCTCAAACATTTATTTTGGATCCTTTTTAACCCAAAAAAGTTAAGATGGACCTTTACCATTTGTCTTTCTCTCATCCACAGACAGGGTGCAGCGTGCTCTTCATCATTCCACTCCTCTTCCGTGAAATGCGCTCCTTATGCCGAGACAGTCAAGCTCGTACACATCAGCTCTGAGGTCATTCGGGTGACTTCTTTTGCCTGTATCTTCATTGAAAATCTGACATTTTGAAAATACAGACTTGCTTTTGCTGCACCTCTTATTTAAGAATGTTTTTTTTTCCCCCTGAAAACAGAAACCTCATATTTAGTCTGACTACTCTACATCAAGGCATTGTTCAGACAGGCAGCAATTCTGTGTTTATTTTTCCTGTATTCTCAGCAAACAAGAATAAACCTATCCTCAAGTAATTTCAGTTATGAAGACAGTGAATGGTACTTAAGGTCTGTTTCTGTTTTATTTCTGTGTATTGCTGTGCCTGTACTTTTTTTTTTTTAATTAATTCTAATTTTATTATTGTTAAAGGGCAGGGCCCTCTTGAGTTTAATTTATGGTGATTATAGCCTGATTGAATTGTTGTATTGAATGGGTTGTAATTTGTGTTAAATATGCACCAATTTTTTAATTCATATTAAAAACACTCAGTTACACTTTAGTGTCACATATGTGAAGTGTATAATGGAATTTTTAAATGTAACACTACAGTTCAGCAATTTGGTGTTTTGTTTCGTTTCAACTATTGGAACCTGTGCAGGTATTGCTTGAATGTTTGAATTGTGTGATCCATTGTTCCTGCATATATAAGTAACAACAAATTCAGGCAAACAACAAGATCAATGAAGATCAATGTCGAAATATTGATTCAGTCAAAGATTAATTAACAGTTTTTGACTGTTTTTACTGAGTTGTATGTCAATGCTAACATTCAGTAAAGTGCACAAACTCATCTTGTTTAGTTGTATTCACTGCAGTTTTCTGTTTATCTTCTTTTTTCAGTCAAGTGATAACTGTTCAGTGGCAAACATTTTTTGCATCCAGTCAAACCTATCCTTATGAAACAACAATATATGGGAATATACTGAAAAATGTGATATATTACATATATACAATACATTTCCATATAAAAAGGACTGGATGTCTTTCTAAAGCTCTCATACAGATCTATGCGGCGTCCCCTAGAGACCCCAAAACTATTTCTAGAAGATGCGGAGGGGCAGTGATCTCTAACCTCCAAAACTTTGGAACAACTGCAGGAACATTTCCCACAAAGTGCTGACGAAAAGCCTCTGCCAAATCTTACATACTGGTTAAATATACTGCAATATATGCCTTGGACAAGTATATTGCAATATGTATGGTTATGTTCATACGTATAGTCCTGGGCTTAGTTTCCCTAATGCGTCGTAAGTATAAATTGTCAAAGAGCAAGATCAAACTTAGGCTTACAATGCTTTTGGAAATGCAGGCCTGGTCAGAGTTATTGGGACTACTGTAAATATGAACGATTGGTTCATATTAATTAGGCAGTTGGTTTCAATAGCAGTTGGTTTGCCCTGAAAGTATTTCTGTCAAACCAAAAATGTCACCACGTCTACAACATTGACAACTTGTTAGTGGTGGCCTACATAAAACGCCAGGGTGGCATCAGGTCAGGCAACCTGCATGGAATGGCAAGAGACCTCCTCTTATGGGCACAGACCAATCTGAGCTCTCTGAAAGCAGCATATACAGTATACATGGCATTCAGAATCTAGGTGAAGAGATGTTCTCACGGGCCAACACTCCCCTAGTGGTCTCTGAACTCACAGACGATCAGTCTGATATGGAGTGTGTTCTGAGAGGCTGAAATCGCCTTGCATGGCTGACACCGCCATCGGTGTATGAATGAATGAGTGAATAGGTGAATGTGAGGCAAAAAGCGCTTTGGTGGCCATTGGGTCAGCATTTACCGTTTTTCTGCCCTATCAGAGAGCTGAAAATCTACCTGGAGTGTTCTGTGACTTTTATACAATCAGAACAGTTTTTTGTCCAAGGATGATTTAGTGACTAAGCAAAGACTCTAGATGGATAGTGGATGCCATTTATATTATATTGATATTATACGTATATATATATTTAAATTTATTTGATATAGCTTGCATTGGAACAAACACTATAACAGTTGATTGTTTTTTTTTTTTTGACAAAACATACTATATAATTAAAGAGTAACTAAACCCTAAACCAACTTTTTTTGGTTAATGATCTGTAAGAATGGATCTTTATTACAGTTTTTCTCGATTGCTTAAACACATTTCTTGAAAATATGCCTCTTATTCTCAATACAATTAACACAAATCCATAATGTCTCACCCAGTTTCCCAAACAACCTATTTTCAGGTCAAAATGAAACTCTACATTCAAAACCATTCACTCTTGCTGAAAAACCAAACTTTGCCCTCAGACAGGACACACAAGCCCTCAAAATAACACACACTACAACATAGTCTGGTGCAATACAGCCCATTCTCACCCCCAAGGAGTCACTTAACTGACGCCTTGGGAAGCATTTGGACATGCTTCAATATCTGACGCTTTAGGCGCCCTTTAGCGTCAGTTAGATGACGCCCTAGGATCGGTGTACCCTACCCCCCCCACACCTAAAGGACTAACCGCAGTCCTCTAACTGACGCTTTCCTTTAGTGTCAGTTAGATGACGCCGTAGGATCGCGTCATGTAACTGACGCTAAAGGGCGCCTAAAACGTCAAATATTCAAGCATGGTCAAAGGTGACGCCTTGGGGTGAGAATGCGTTGTGCAATAAAGGTGCAATAAAGTCAAAACAACATTTCCAAAACTGGTAAGTTATGTTACTTGTGGTTCCCCTCCTCACAAACCTTTTCACATGAGAAAAGACACAACCAATGGATACATTAGCAAATTTTTATTCATTCATGTACAACACAGTACAACACACACAAAAAATAAATAAATAAATAAATAAAGATTATTCCGCCTCAGCCTCCTGTCTTTGGTCTGGGTCAAGCCAGAGAATCACATCCACATCAAAGGCTATATTAGCCTAGCCAGGCAGCAGGGTAAAATCCTCTTGCCTGATCCACCATTTTCCTGTTTTTCTCCCTGAAAGTTCTGATGATGGAGGTGACGGTGAAGCGACTCAAATGGCTGTACTCGTTGTCTAGCCTCTCTCATAGTCATGCCATGGCAAGGACATGATCAACTAAAGTGGCTCTAATTTCATCCGAGACTGCTTGTCTCCTTGCTCTTCCTCCTCCTGCTCCACTTTTATGCCAAAGCTCTGATCGCTAATTGTAAAACTGTGTGAAATGTGTTTGCACATGTGAGTCAGTTTAAATATGTGAATGGCAGTGTGTTCCTCATGAAAACAAGAGATTTTCTGCATGAAAATTGTGCCAAATGCAGAGAATTGTGTAGTGTTTTGAAAAAAGTGTGTTTTTGAACTGCAATTTGAGTGTAAAGCAGGAATTGTGCTTGTAGTTCAGTAGAATTGGTTCAGGGGGTTGGTGAATGAGTTACATGTTGTGGTCATTGTGTCTCAAGTACCAGAAAATGTGTGTAAACAAGCAAGAAAAACTGTAAGCAATTGAGCAACTGTTTAAGCAAAAAACGTTTTTTGACATTTGTGAATAAAGTGTTTTATTTCTACAATATATGGTGTTAAAACATCTTAGTGCTGCCCTCTTGCGGATGAACGGTGGCTACTGCAGTTGAATTTTCCTATTGGATGTTCCGCACTTCGTGACGTACGCAGGTTTCAGCTCACCACGCTCTTGGTACGAGCTACGCCCTTGACAGAATAAAAAACAGCTTGTTTAGTCAAAACCAGTCAGGAGTTGGAATTGCGAGTATTGAAACGATCAGGATAGAGTGTTTTAGCATCTATTTCGTCCCTCTATCTTCGCTGGGGTCTGCCCACTTTTTCAGCATTTTTCAAATATTGCCAGTGGGTGGAGTCAGGCTCTGACCAGGGGTTTAGTTT